AATTAAGTCAGTGGAATCAGATCCATAGAAAGCCTGACAGCCCAACATTAATTTATATCAGTTGTTTTTTTCTTATGTCATCCATGAGAAAACACCCTCTCTCCTTTCAGATGTCTGATGAACTAGCACTAGACAGGGCAAGTTACAGAGCCAGCAAAGCTGCAGGGGCATAAAGGGAGGTATGGAGCCTGCTGGAATTCGTGGAGATGGATGTGAGCATAACAGCAAAGTCAAAATGATGATGTCTGTTGGAGATGTGGCTGAGAGGCACTGGATTCAACAGGGAGGTGGTGTGAGTGGGATGAACAGCCCATCAGCAGGAGGGTGGATTTCTGAGGGGCAGAGCACTGGGCATCAGCACAATGGGCCAAAAAGGCAAGGTCAGCAACAGTGTCTTAGACAGACATTTTGGGGTAAAGCTGGAGAAGCAATTGAGCATTTCGTTTGAACTCCTTTAGGAGGCCTAAGTGTATTGTTTAGCATTAGAGAATTTAAGATTAGTAGTGAGTAATCAGTGGGGCCAGCATTAGATATCAACATGAGTAGAACTTTAACCAATAAAAGAAACCAACAGAGGCACAGTGTGTTTACTTAGCTTTTAGACAGGCTAATCAGAACTTCAAAGACCAGAAAACTTTGGGGCTATTCCCAAGTCACAAAAACAGTTTAAGTACGAACTAACCAAGAGGTTTGTTGATGTTACTCTAAGGTAATTGCATGGGTCATACCTGGTTGTTTTACATAGATTGGGCTTATTTTGGTAGTGACTTATTTTTGGTGAGAGAAGCAGCACCGTGCACTCAGCCTGCACCCAGGGAAAGGTTTCATCTGTGGATATTCACCAGCCTTCTCTGAATTCCGCATCATCAGTGTTCTAGGACATAACTTTTACATTAATTCAGGAATATTTATTTTCATTTTAATTTTATAGCCCTGTAATCTCCAGTTTCATATCACTGTCACACAAACTTCCTGTGCCATATCATTAGGATGTTGTTCCTTATTGTGCTGAGTGCACAATATACCACATAAAGCTCCCACTATCTATTACTGTAATTGTCTGTCTCTGCAGTGATTTCCCCGAGCTCTGTAGTTCCCAGTGACTACCTGGGGTAGGACAGAGGAACGGAGTCACTGCATTCAAGGTGCAAGACAAGGACCAGGGAATTGCATTGCAGGGCTGTAAGGTTGGGTGTTTGAGGTGGTGTATAAGGATCTCCTGCACTGTTAGGTAGGAAGAGGACCACAGGTGTGGGTCACAAGACCGAGGCCAGAAGCTCACCCATTCCCAACACCAGGTTGTATTTCACGTGAGATACAATCTGTATGAACCAATAAAGCTCTGCAAAGCAAAGCACACTTTGCTTTGTACTCCATTCTGGTGCTGCCTTGCAAAGTCAACTACAAAAGTGCCAAATGTCTTCTTGCAAGACCTCAGACCTTTCCCTCCCACTTTTTCTTTGTAATCAAACATTATTACCGAAACCAAGAAAACAGGGAAAACTGTGCTGCTGAGAAGCCTCAAGCAGAACTAAATGGGAAAGAGCAAGGGTAGTAGCTCTTTCCAGATACCAGAGCTCATCTGCTATCTGCTTTAGTCATCTTCAGTGCATGTACTCATCTGTGGTCTTCCTGTTTCCCATCTTTCCATTCCCCACTAGGTTTAATGTCTGAGCAAAATACCCTTTGTGCTGCCTCCAGAGACATACCAGCCTCTCTTAAATCCATTTGCAGGGTCACCATCCCTTCTGGCATCGAACTCTCACCTTCACTTTCAAGCTTCTCATGCCACAACACTCTCCTGTTTCCCTTCTCTGGTTTGCCTCAACTTCTTTCACTCAGACCCTGTTTTCCTTGCACTGATTCTCCTCAGAGAGCTTTCACACCTGTACTATTTTGCCCAACCAAAATACATGTTCCTTTTTCACCCATGTTACAATTAGATTCCACCAAAACCTGGACTGTCACTGGTGCCAGGATGCACAAGCTTACACTGCTGAGCAAACTATTGATGGCTAAATGATAGTGAAGGAGGAAAACAACAGAAAGGATGGGGAGGGGGAAATGGTAAAATAAATGGTAAGAGAGAGTATTGGGGCTAAGAAATAACCACATATCACGAACAGAAATTGGGAGATGAACTTTCAGAGTTGATACTTATTCAGAAGAGGATGCTTCATTCAACCAAAAATTAGTCTATTTTCATATGAATAAACTTGAAGTTACTAACGGGGTCAAAAACATTGTCAGAAATCTGTGCCAGCTTTACCCTGCTGATATATAACTGTTTAGAATAGTTTTTAAATACTCCCCATATAAATGGGGAAGAAAAGTCCTATTGGGGTGAAAGAAATAAAAGACAGTGAGCTGACACTTTAGGATCTAACTCTCATGACTAATTACACAGCCATCCTCTGTTTTTCCTACACATATTTCTAGATATGTGTAGGACTTGGGGGGCACTCATGTGAAGTTTATTCCTGGAAGAGTATTCATCATGACTCTTGCGACACTCAAACACTACCCCAGGCAACTCTCCCTGCCTCACTCACTTGATGAGAGAGAAAATCCACCAGCCTATTGTAAGGTCATGGCTCAGGAAGGCATTCTCACCACATTTTTGATGTATAACTCAGAAGGATGTTAGCACTGTATGTTTTTTAATCTTTAAGTTAATACAACACAAAATTGTATTAAAAGACCATTATGTTGGAAGGCACAGTGAGGTTAGGAAATGTTGGATTGAAGTTGCCTGCACATCCTGACTGCTGAACTGTATCATGTCATAGTCTTTAGCTACACAACTGCACATAGATGCCCTCTGAGCATCTATGCAACATTTCTTTGTCTTTGTTATTCACTGTAGCCCAGCCCCTGTTTCCTGAATACCACTCGAAACCTGTGCTGAACACAGAATTATTAATTTTTTAAAGGTCTTTTTTGCATGGCATTCTCTTGATTCCTCATAAACAGCCATGAGTCTGATTTGTTAGTGACCACCTGAGGTGAACGGGTGGTATCACCCCCACATTACAGATGAGAAACCGAGACAGGAGTGTTAAAAGTGTGCACTGCTTGTAGGAGATAAAGCAGAGAAGGCTGGCATTTGAATTGTCAAAGTCAGGAGTACAACACAGACATAAAGATCCAAAGAAGATCTCTACTGGTTTTAGATACTAATCTTTGAGCATTCAGCATGCCTGAAAATCAGTTTCCAGATGGAAAAAAAGTATAATACATCAATTACCATATCACAAATCTCTGCTGCATCCACATCTAGTATAAAGTCTGAGGCTTATCATTCTCTGTGGGAAATGAGAACAGGCAAGTGAGGTGACATTCAGTTTTTACCAGCAGGTTTCACAAGTATTTATCATGCAAGGTGGATGGGTGAGATGATGGCCCTCAGTTCAAGCCAAAGTTTTGCAAGGAAATGTATTTACTGGTCACAGACCCTTCACTCCAAGCTCTATTCCTCTGTGGCCATATTTCTTCTGCCTTTATGCTTGTCCTGTTCCCACCTCTTACATACCTGTTTCTGCTGTGTGACTTCATCCCTATGTTTCCCTGCAGGATCGTTATCCCAATGCTCTCTCTTCCCACTGCCTCCCACTTTTTGACCCTACATTCTCATCTGCCTGTTCCAGGTCACTGATGCCTGATGTGTTTCAGCTCCCACTTCTCTGCTGTCTCCTTGTCCTGGCCTCTTTGCTCAGCCAGCCCTCAAATACTTGGTCTACAGCTCCCATGCCCAGTTTTAAGTCCCATGAATTCCTCAGTGGGTTTCTTCTGCAGCCCAGCACAGCCCCTATTCATTGGTTTAGCCATTCTACAGCCAGATTTGAGAAAAGAGTCTCCCTCAGTCCAGTTTCCAGTTCTAAATCTTGTCCCACAGAAACTCTTGGAAAGATGTGAAGTCTGGGATATTTATGAGGTGCAGAGTATTTCAAGTCATATGGATAAACACCAGGAAATCTGATCATAAGCAGTGGTTCCAGATCAACCTTTTCTGGTTTCAGCCTCAACCTGTCCATCTTGCAATTAAACCCTGAGTACGTCCCTTTGACTGAGGCTTTAAAAGACAAATTTAAAATGCTTAGATGATAATTGTTGCTATGAAAAGGAGTATACCACAAAAAGATACCCTAACAAATTAGAGTAGAAAAAGCTTCAGCATAAGCATAAGGTTCAGTCTACAGATTTGCTGATCCTTTTGGGTGAAACTTTTAGTAGTTTAGTGGTGGACTTGGCCATGTTAGGCTACTGATTGGACTCAATGATCTTAGAGGCCTCTTCCAACTAAATGATTTTATGACTCTATGACTGTATCGCTAACTTGAGTTTTGTAAATACACAAAGAAAAATCTGATGTATCAATGAAGTTCATCACAACTAGATCAATATACAACATGTCAGTCCTCCATTTGTATTATTTTTTCACTCTTTCTCACAGCTGACATGAACAGATATAAGCTTTGGAGCAGAGTCCCATGGCTGACTAACAAAAAGGCAAGGGCAAAGCAGATGAGCTGTAGCAAACAAACAAATAAGAGGTTTAAGAAAACCCCTGGCATCCTTCCAGGCTCAGTTCAAATCCTGCTTGGTCCTCTTTGCTTAAGCGTGGGCTGGTGGTAGGACTGATACTCGCACTACTTGCGTTCGGAGTTGAACATCTGAAATGCTAAAAAAGCAGGCCCCGTTCCTACGCCTTCCCCGCTTTTCCTTGGACCACTAGATGGCAGTTCCCCATTTCCAAACGGGGGCTCTTGGTACCTGTTGGCTCCTGCCCAGCAGCTGTGTCAAGCAGAGTGGAGGCACATCTGCCTTTGCTGCACACGTTTGCGGGGAGCTGTCAACAAGAGTGGCTCCGGGCCAGCGTCCCACCTGAAGGGCAAACAGCTTTGCCCTCGTGCACGACAACGGGAAAATCTTCCACAAAACTAAACACCAAACACAGGCCTCCTCGACAAGAGAGGTCCTCCACGTCGTGTCTTACTCACCCAGAATTTTACGAGGAAGAAAGCGTTCTGAGGCCCCTTCCCAAACAGTTCCTTTAGACCGCCCTTCTTTTCAGGAAATTTGTCATAAATCTGACGAATGTCCACCGACTCGAGCAACGGGTCACTGTAAGAATGGTTAGCGTGTCCAATGTGTACGAAGAGGTGTTTATTGTACTGCAAGAAAGAAACAGGAAAATCAGTGCTGCAGGAAAAGAACAGAGGTTTGTTATGGCAGAGGTCTGTGTGTGTGCTCTTTGACGGATTAAATGACTCACACATTACTCCCGGGACTGTGATTTTCTGCAGTATGATTTCCGTGAACAACTTCAGTGATTGTGTCACAGACCCTTGTGAACAAGGGTCAGCATCAAAAAAACCTGTGTCCCTACTGCAAACCTCAAAGCACGGCCGTCTTCAGGGGGGTAATTTACACTGAAAGACCCAGGGGCAGCACGGTGATAAAGAGTGCTTCGCCGAGCATAACAAAACGAACATGCTCATGAGGAAAGCCTATTTCTGCCTCTTTAAACAGTGGCTTTTAATGTCCTGTGACCTCAGAGCCTGAATTTCTGCTTGTGCCACAGAGTCCACACGTACACACCTCCTGTTTATCTATTAAAAAACCCCAAACCTCTATCTATAGCATATGCTAATGCCACTCAACTAAAAGAGATGAAAGGGATTTTCTTTTCACTCCCGAATGACAGCAACAAGAAGGCCAGTTACTCTGTGTTGCTGTTCTTATGGACATGGTCCTCATTGTATGTCCTCCAGTATTTCGACCTATGTAATATTAAAGAGCCAAACTCTTACCCCTTCCCTCGGGAGCTTGCTCCATAGATGACCATCTCTGCCAAAATACATTCAACTTCAATTTCCCATTTCTAAACTTCATCCCATCGCACCTCATTACAATCACAGGAGTCACCTTGGCAATGCCTTTCCTGCCTGAGGGAAATCCTTGGCCCAGTGAAGTCAACAGCAGCCTCCTAAGGAGTCCAGTATGGTCCTTTAAGAGCTGCCATTTCTCCAACCAAAATGAAAGTGGAAGGATGAACCCCGAAGACTCGCCACCAGTCAATCAGCACCTCCCTTGGTCAAGTGTGCAGAGTGAAGGAGCTCGAGAGTGACAGGATTGAACACTGAGGGTTTAAACTATGCAGATTACAAAACATTTCGCTAACTCAGTTAAAGGAAGGCTGATATGCAGTCAAGAAACACCAAGAAACCCTGTCACATTGAACAGATGCTGTACATAAGGGGCAATTCCCAAAAGCTAAGCACAAATAAAATATTTAAAACCCCAGAGCAAACCTCATTTAAGCCATTTTGTTTACAGTGTACCTGCCGAATGAACAAATTGAAATGACAAATCTAAATGAATTGGACAACCACTCAGAGCCTTCCTTCAGTGTGAGCAGAGTCTTCTCTAGCAGATGTCCAAAACTCTGGGGAAAAGGAAATGGACTGGCTAGATTTCTGCACTTAGGAAATGAAATTGAAATCTATTAAAAAATCATCTAGCACGGTAAAATCTGAATTTAGAACCAGAGAACACTCATCTGTGTATGCCAAAAATGAGATACAGTCCATGGTTTTTTACAGGGTTGTATTTCTTTTTTAATTTTGTGGAAGGAAAAAGGGAAGTGTAACATCCTATTAATAGGTGTTTGCACAAGCAAGCCAAAATCTGAGATCACTGATTCCATGGATTTCCCTTGCAGCCTCTTTCAGAGAATGCCATCCCAGCTTCCTCTGTGCACAAGTGGAAAATGTGCCCAGCTTTTAGTCAGTGCATGTGGAGCCCCAAAGGGGCAGAGCTGACCCGAAGAAGCTGTTTCTCCCTTGAAGAGAACAGGCATGGCAGAGAAATAGCAGGTGACTGGGAGCTGGATGTATGTTCATAGGGGAGAGTGTGCCAGTACATCCTCCCCCAGCACTGGTTTTGCTTGCAAACTAAACAGGACACAGGAGCTCATTGTACTAGTTGGCAACAACAGTGCTCCTGGTCAGTTCTAGCAGGTCACTTCAGCCAGCAGTGGCAAAAGTGGACTAAGGAGAGATTTTAACATGAGAAAACAAAAAAAGCCAAATAAATGCAAGGTAATATGAGGAAAGCATCATGGTTCCAAGTTTTGGGGGTTTGACACATATTCAGCTTGCAGTGCTGCGAGTACAGAACTTAAAAAGTCATATTGAGCATTTCTTAATTGTCTTGCTCACTACTGAAAAAGTGAGATCTCAGTAAAATGTATCAGCACCCCATGTACCTTGGAACTGCCAGAACCACTAGAAAGGGAGTCTGCTCCTCTTGCTTTCCTGAGCTACCAGGGGTGAAGTGCGGTAGGACAGGACATGGGCTGGGTCCCTGAACAAGGCTATCGATGGAAGTCTATCTGCATTCAGGCAAACATCTCCATTTTTCAAGGAGAATGATGAGAATTCCCCAGCAGAGACAAGCACTTCAGCCTACTCAGAAAAATTAAACTGAAGCCTTTCCCTTCCCAGCACCCCCACAGCCTGCCTAGGCATGCCCAGCAGTTGTGCTCTCCCTGGGGATGTGAGATGCCCCCAAGCATCTCTCTGGTCTCTCTCATTCAGAGTAAGGGCTTGAAAAACCACCCCCACCATTAGAGGCCGGGTCATTATTTATTTTGGGGTTGTTTCCTCTCAGTCTTTCCTGCTGGAGTTGTTCCACGTTGTACAAATAACCATATTTTTATAGAATTGAGGGCTCAGATTCTCCTGCGACCAGGAAAGCGTCCTCCTTCCCAAAAGGGTGTCTCTCTCCTGGGCCCAAAAGTGGCTATGGAGTGAAGGGGGAAGGGGGGAGCTGCATTTTACAGTTTGGCAACTGCAAGTTCCCAAGGCAATTCATACACTGTAACTTATTCTGCAAACCAGGAAAACCTACAAATTGCTCAGTATCCAAACTTCAGTAAAGGAAAACATATTTATAGGGACATGGAGCATGAAGTCTTAATACTCTTTAAATACAAAAGGAAAGTTAAAGGCAGCTGCAAAGCTACCACAGTTGTCTGTAGAGCTCGCCAAAGTACCAGATGCTGCTGCAGCAAAATTTTTGAGGGGGTACAGTGGGACAGATGGTATGACATCACCTGACAACATTCTTAGGACAGAAATGTTTATTTTGGTATTGCAATGTGTGATTACTGTCTCCTTATGTTGCTGCAATTCCTATGCTAAGTACAATCATTACTAACCTAATTAGACATGGCATATTCCTACGAACTAACAAACAATAATGTGATATTTGGAGCACGGTAAATCGATACTGAAATGATCCCTATCGTTTTTATACAAACATGCCCCCTGACAGGAATTGATGCACAGATAAAAGCAAATAAGCTAAGTTTTATGCCTGTATTTTTGAGCCCATTAATGTCTGAAAAGCTTAAAACCATGCTCATTATATTGAGAATTCACCGTTGTTTTAGACTGAGTATTCCAGAGTCAATGAAGTAAAATAGAGACTGAAGAATTTACTCATGCTACAGCATTTAAAGGATTTGCATCTGGCATCAGGGCAGTAAGGTGCTTTAGATGCTGTAGACCATGATAGGTCAAATCCTGTATTTTCTGAGGAGAAAAACTACACAAAAACACAAAGAACATTTTCAGCTCTCTCTTCCATGTCTGCATTACACGACATGCCCTGGAGATGGCCGCCTCTTACTGAGCTCCTTTCCTTAAAAAAATTCCAACTATCCAAAGAATGCAGTAAAGCCATGAAATATGGCTGTTGTCAAATAATACCACGAGAAAAATTATAATCCACTTAGGAATTTAAAAGAACCAAGACAAATTGCCAATGGCAGGGGATGCAAGAATTTAAGCTGGTGCAGAACAAAGACAAACCACCTACATCTGTTTTATCAGCCAGCATATATATTCGTAACAGCTCCTCACCAATCTTGCAGTTACAGTCTAAAGCAACAGCCTTTTTGGTCCATGAAAAGCAGGCTTGCAAATTGTTACAGATCTCTCTGCTGCATCCCTGTGCTTTCCCACACCTGTGGAACTAACACCAAGGCTTGACAAGCCTGTATAGGACCAAGGTTTTTATTAAACAGCAGTGGCCAAGATGCAGACGGCAGTGAAGTCAACCCTCACATGTTCCTGGGGCAGGAGAGCTGCTGCTCCTGTCCAATGGGGCTGCACAACCACATGGGTCAGCACACAGGGGGTGATGGCTCCCTGCTGAGGCTGGGTGATGTGGATGCAGGGAGGTGGCCTGAGAGAGACCAGCTGTTTCTGAGGGGGTGACCTTGCTCGTGGACACAGCATCTGACTGCAAGGGTGCTGCACCCAGAACCACAGCCATGATTTAACCCTCCCAAATCTCACTTCTCACACCCGGGAGTCACCCCCACATGGGTGTGAGCTCCCCTGCAAACTCCCCTTTCCTGGCAACGGGACTGAGCTGGTGGGATGTTGGACCTTGTGCACCCATGGGATGAAGGAGTGGGACGAGGAGGCTGCAGCCCCCCACCACCTTGTCTGCACTGCACAGCTTCATAATACCACCCTGTCAGCTGGGCTGCTTCGTGGGATCAGCGGGTTCCTGCAAATTGCTAGCACAACAAGGCCATCTGTATCATTACTTGGAGCAACAAATCCCTGTGAGAAAATACCACTGGGACAGGCTGGCAACTTGAATGGATCGTAGTCTTCTGTGCCCAAAGAAACTCCACTACCCAGAGAAGAAGTACATTAAGAAGGCTCTGCTGCAGGTCTTCTCTCCCCCTGACACAGAGGGACAGCCTCTTGGCTCTCTTTGGACCAGATATATTCCCTACTGGAGGTCACAAGGATGAGCGCTGAAGCCCAGAGTGACAGGTCAGCGGAAGGCAGGTGGAACAGCCTGAGCTCTTGCTGAAATGAGAGCAAACAGCACTGCCTGGCACTGTGCAGTGATTCTCTCTGTACCTCCACAGATTGGAGTACATCTTTTAAAAATGTACCTCTGACTGTGCAGCAACTGTGCTTCTGGGGGGAAAAGGAGCCACGTGGCTGAAAACCAATCTGAAAACCAATCCCTGGCATATCAGCAGTCTGCATGCAGCTCTAACCTGCACCCTGCCCAGCCTCAGCTCAGCTGCCTTGCTGTATCTCGTAAATCTGACGCTCTTTAATTTCCTGCTGATGTAAGA